CGTTCCGCCCGCCACTGTGTGGTGTCCTGTCCTGGGTCCCCTCTCCCCCTTGGACTGCAGTAATTTGGCCCCTAGAGTGGTTGTCTCTTCCACCCAGGGAATCTGCTCAGGTGCAGGCAAAGGGTCCCACCGATCATTTTCTTCCGGGGGCTGGCACACTTTTTGGCCCAGAGTGTTTTGAAAGAACGAAGGGCCAACTCAAGTGCTCTAAAAAGCAAAACTTCTAATTGTTTTAAGACAATGAGTTATTTTGAACCCACAATGGTATTTTCCTGCTAATGCACTTTCGAGCTCACTGGGTTATACTCTGAAATACCTTTTATTTTCTACAGATCTACATCATCCTCAAAGGATGGAGATTTGTCACCACTAAGTATAAATGAACACTTGGTTTCAAAACCAATTCCCTCAGATGAAAGAAAGAGGAATGAGGCACCTAAAAGGCCCCAGGCACAGTTAAATCCTTTATGAACTTTTTCTCATGGAATTTGCATCTCATGGAATTTGTGAAGTAGGTGTCATCAGGCCCATTTTACAGATTAGGAAATGGAAGTCCAAAAAGCTGAGTCACATGTCCAAGTCCACCAAGATGGAAGATAGAAATTCTTGGCAATTCGACTCAGACTGGCATTTGTGGAATGATTCTACCACTTGCAAGTGTGGCTACTTGGAAAGAAGCAACATTCATCAGTCTGTATAAAATATGGCATTGACAGTGCCTTGTACATATGCAGTAGGGGACTTACATATTCAGCTGTTGAATGAATACAAAACATTGCACAACATTATCTTATATCCCTATGCACAATGTGTACAGACACACATAATTTCAAGTCTGTACATACATACACAATGAAAAAGAGATTTACTGAACCATATGGGAGGGGGGAAAAAAACCCTGACTCAAATTTCTGCCAAGTCTGTAAGTTTAGAAATGGTAAGGTAATTCCATTTACTTTTAGTGGATTGTTAAAAATTTCCTTACACTGTTGGATAGCTCCTTTTCTCTCAGGTAGATCTGGAATCTGAGGGCAGATGACCCCACACAGAGCAACATAAAAACATTTGTTGAAATACAATGAAATGGTTCCAAACCACCATGCTCTTATGTGACAGTTCCATTTTCCGCCTGGTCTATCGTCAGCTCTGCTCTGGGATGTTGGCATCTGTCTCACCAAGGTCCATATGACTCAGTGTCTGGGGGGATGTAGGCAAATAGATCATCTATTACACACTAGCGGAGGAAGGACTGTGATAATGGGTGAATGACACTTGTACACTAGGTTGATAAAGAACTGGCTCCTTTCATTGCCTTCAAAGAAGCCCAGCTAGCCCACAGAGGCTACTCTGGTATAGGGTGACCTTCCTTAACAAATATAGCACAGTGCTTATAAACCCAGATTCCACAGCCGGAATGCCTGCGGGCAAAAGCTAGTCAACGACTGTGTGAATGAACAATGGACCTCCGTAAATACTCTGCCTTACACTCAACAGTCCCTTTACTCCTATTCCACCAGGGCTGCTGCTGCTGCTATTACTGCTACCACTGTTACGACTGGAACTATGACACTTCCTCCTCCTTCCCTTCCTCCTCTTTCTACCTCTCCTCCCCCTCCTTCCTCATCTTCATTTGCATTTTGTTACGTTTGTTACTGTTTGTGTCAAAATTATACAGAGGAATACTTCCAAGAATCAAATTGTGCTGAAAGTTTTGTTACAATATAGCAACAATCCCTATCACTATCTCCTTGATTTCTCCCTCTCCGTCCATTTATCTCACCCAGGCTATAATTTTGGTATTTAGCTCCTTATCTTGAAATGACTGATGTACAGGACTCCTTGACTTTTCAATTTCCGGCTCTATCTGCTGGCTTCCCACTATGGAAGATGAGTATGTAGCAGTCTTTCCTTTCGTGTGTCCCCACAAGACACATTCATCTTCCCATTTCCTCACTTCCCCTAATGGGGTATTATTGTATTTTTGGTTAGGTCAATTTTTAGGGGTTAGGTGATTATGATTAAGCATGCTACGCAGAGATGATTCATGTAGTAAATTGTATGAGATGCAATGTCCTGTCCAACACTTTCATTCCCTGGAGTTAAAAGTTATCTTCTATCTATTGCTGAGTTTTTTCCCTGAACTTCTCATTTATTCAACTTCAGATTCTTTGCCAAATAAATAAATATCTCAAGGCAGCCAGATGTCTTAGGAATTCTATCAGCTCACTCTTCCTGAAGAAGTCTCTCCCAGGGACTTCTGATCCGACTCCAATCAGAACTGGTCATGGTCTACACCGCAGGCACAGCTGACATCCTTGACGCACCCATCATCCGGAAGATTTCCTTTGCCTCTCTCTTCTTTGCTGGAGCTCCAGCTTGCCGTATTCCATTTCTTCCTCCTTGATTTAGTCATTCATGTTAGTGGAGTCCATGTCATTTTCTAACAGCTACTTGAGAAAAGGTATATGAGAAGTATATTTTTTGAGACCTTGAACTTGTGAAAATGTACATCTCACATTTGATCGATAAGCATGTTTCCACGGCCTTCTGGTGTTTGATAATCCCAAACTATTGTTCTACAGTGTGCAAGCTTATTGGATGCAAAGTTTGTTTTGATGTATGTCTGTTTCTAGTCACTGTCTCCTTGGTGGACCCTTCAGTCTGGAAATTCATATACTTCAGGTCCAGGAGATTTTCTTTATTTCATTGATGATTTCTTCCCCTATGTTCATGTTTTCTCACTTTTCTTTCTTCCCTCCCTCCCTCCCTTCCTTCCTTCCTTCCTCCCTCCCTCCCTTCCTTCCTCCCTTCCTCCCTCCCTCCCTTCCTTCCTCCCTTTCTCTCTCTCTCTGATATTGAACTTACTGTACCGGTCCTCTAATTTTCTTTTTGTCTTTTTATTCTACTGTGTGTAGGATATCTTCAAGCTTTATCTTCCAACACATTTATCTTTTGAATTTTTCATTTCTACATTCATATTTTTAATTCATATTTTATTAAATTCATTATTTATTATTTAATTCATATTTTATAAAAGAGCTCTGATCTGATGTCTGCCCTTTGAATTTTAAATGCACATAGTACTCCTTATTTTACAATTGCAAAAATCTTTTCATCCCGCTGAAAATACTGATCATAGCTCTTTTAATAGCGTCTTCTCCTGGCAGAGTCTCTGTTTATTCCAAGCTTTTTTTCTTTTTCCATTTGACAGCGTGGATCTCACTATTCATGTTAGAAGATTTCTCTGGATGTCTGATAATCTTTAGTTGTCACTAACTTAGTTGGGAGCTTATAACAAATGAGCAGGGCTTGCTGACCCTGAACTACACTCCAAGGGTCTTGGGAAACTTCTGATGTCTAAATCTCTTTCCTCTTGGCTCAGCCAAACCCCCACTGAAATCATTCAGGTGTCCATTCAGGAGGAGGAAGGCCTGAGCCCAGATGGAAGTGGGGAGGGTGTGTTATCTGAGCATCTGGTATGGATGCGTCTACTTAGTGGTGCTATTTTCAGTACCATATCCCAACTCAAGAGGCCTGATGTCTTTTAGTCCAGACACTCTCTATTTTACTCTCCTGAGGGAACAAACCTTCAGTCTTCTGCTTGGAAGAGGAAGGGACAGCCATCCAGTTATTCAGGATGTTTAAGCAGATTGGGGGTTCTCAATACATCTTAAAAGGCTTTCAAACAATGAACCTCATTTTAGCCTCTCTTTTACCCCCCTCTTCCTCCTTCCATCGATACTGATGACTCCCCATTCCTGAGCCTTGCGCAGGATTCTTTAGTGCCTATCAATTCATGGTTCTTCCCAGGGACAACTCAAAATTCAGTTTCTGGCGTCCTAAGCCATTTACTACTCTGCATCTTCTTTCTAAAGCCCCTCCCCACCATGTTTTGCTATGGTCTCCTATTTAGTTTTCCCCATCCTTGTGAATTTACCATTTTTCAAACCCTCCTTACTGTCAATTTATGGAGATTTTAGAGAGGAGAAACTTAAGTGTGTGTGTGCACGTGTGTGTGCTTCATCTGCCTCTTTACCCTGAAGCTCAAGTTCTTGTCTTTCCCAAGTCCTCCAAAACTGTGTAAGTTAGAAGATCCACTAGGCACAGTGCAAGACGATGCGTGAACAGATTTGGAGCTACTCACGCTGGCCCCCTCCTCTGTGGTCAGACAGAAGCCTTTATTAATGAAACCATTGCTTTCTTTTTTTTTTTTTGCGGTACGCGGTCCTCTCACTGTCGTGGCCTCTCCCGTTGTGGAGCACAGGCTCCAGACGCGCAGGCCCAGTGGCCATGGCTCACGGGCCCAGCTGCTCTGCGGCATGTGGGATCTTCCCAGACCTGGGCACGAACCCGTGGCCCCTGCATCGGCAGGCGGACTCTCAACCACTGTGCCACCAGGGAAGCCCAAACCATTGCTTTCTGAAGCCTCTCACTGGCCTCCTGCCTCTGCAGTCAAACTTGCCTTGCTCACCAGGTTGGATATGGTGGTGCTGTGCACAGGCAGGGAGAAGCAAAGGCCCTGAGGAAGCAGCAGAAACTCAGAGCTTATATCCAAAGCCCAGAGCCAGCACTGAAGCTTCCCAAGAGGAAGAAATCCTCCATGATACACAGTACTGATTTCAAAGTAAGGAAAGGAATAGAGGAGAATCCCTCACATTCCCATCTCATGCCACTGTGACTTTTCTAACCTGACTCTAGAGGGACAGAACATTCCAGCCTCCCAAAGACACACCAGAATGGAGAAGCAAAGGCCAATCACCAGCCACGTCTCTAAGCAGTGGGGTACCAAGAAAGGAGGTTACACAGGCAGTGGGAGTGTTCCACCTCGATGCATGTGACAAGGGAGTAGGTAGAGAAGGTAAAAGCAATAAAGCTGTTCTGCTTTTTATGATCTCCATGTACTGCCACTTCTAAAGAATGTCAGTGAGAAAATACTCTCGATGGTTGCAGACTCCTCCCATCACACCCTACCCCCAGCATCCCTCCAGCAGCCTGGTTACCTGTGGATGATGTGATACCGCTGCAGATACTCCAGGGCCAGGGCCAGCTCGCAGATGTAGAGCTTCACGGCCCCCTCTGTGAAATGTACATTCTGTTGCAGGTGATAACGTAGGTCCCCTCCCAGCAGTAGGTCCACCACCATGAACATGTCCTCCTCGTCCTGGAAGGAGTACCTAGGAGCACCGAGGGGCAGAGAAAGTTAGGGATGGAGATGACTCCAATGCCCTCAAGACTGATGCCCCCATTTTACAGAAGAGCAAACTGAGGCTCAGAGAGAGGCACTGATGCTGCCCAAGTTACAGCGTTCTATGACAGAGCACCAGTCCTCTGGCAGACAAATGGCACTTGAACCAATACTGGACTCCAACATGTTACTTTGTTTTTAGTACATGTTTTTTTTTTTTTTTTTTTTTTTTTGCGGTACGTGGGCCTCTCACTGCTGTGGTCTCTCCCGCTGCGGAGCACAGGCTCCGGATGCACAAGCTCAGCAGCCATGGCTCACGGGTCCAGCCGCTCCGCGGCATGTGGGATCTTCCCGGACCAGGGCACGAACCCGTGTCCCCTGCATCGGCAGGTGAACTCTCAACCACTGCGCCACCGGGGAAGCCCTAGTATATGTTTTAATTAGATGTTGTCGGGACTTAAGTAGCTGGTCTCCAAAGCTGCAGCCCCTTCTCCACTCATTCCCCTGTCCTCCCCACACATGCCACTCCCCACAAGGATCTTGTTTCTGCAGCCCTTGAAGGCAGTGATGCTCTGGTAAGACACATCCAGGATTTAAGGGAACTGGCAGTTTCTACTCACGATGCTTCTCAGAACCCGGCCAGAGCCCAAGCCCTATGAAGAGGCCACGAGAAGGAAAACCAAGGCGCTCTGTTCAAGAGTCCCAGCTGAGCACTCAGTGACAACCAGCGCCAACCAGTAGCCGTGAGAGTGAGCCACCTTGGGAATTTGGATATTCTGTTGCAATCCCAGCTGACATCACATGGAGCAGAAGAGCCGCCCCGATAAGCCCAGTCAAGTTACAGAACATGAGATAATGAGATGGTTGTATTTTGAGCCACTAAGGTTTTGAGTGTATTTTCTCCCCAAAGCAACAGAAGTTGCACTTAGGCCTTTTAAGGGCTGAAGCACCAACATAAAAACCCTGAGAGTGGAGTTAAACAACTGTAAACTAGAATCACGTCATAAAATGTCGTCACATTCCATACAGAACCATGAACTGTAATAAGGGCATCACAGAATGACAGGATGTTGTCCTGGATGCTTAGATCTGTGTCTCAGATCCTCGACTATTAGACCTGGGCCAGCCAGGCCATTCCCCTCGTTCGACAGAAGAGGGAAGAAGGGCCTCAGTGAGCCACTGTCAGGGTGAAAACAAGACTCAGACTCCCCACTCTCATCGAGCTCTTACAACCACACACTGCTGAGATGCTGCTGCAACATGTACTTGCTGTGTTTCCCTGACCTGGGCATGCAGCCCTGAGGAGGGAGCCCGATTCGGCCACAGGAGAGGTGACAGACCATGTGCTTACGGGATGAGGGATTCCAGGGGTGGAAGGAACCTTAAATGCCATCTAGTCCCACCTGCCCTGTATTACAGAGACTGGGACCCAAAGAGAGAAGAAATGGCTGCCCAAGAGTCACAGTTCTCCTTGTATATCTCACCTGCTGTTTATACGGGTCAGAATCAAAGCAAGGAGGAGGGGGGTGATATATTGTGACCCCAAACTGTAAATTTACCAGATGCTTACAGAGTACCTGTCTTGTGACAGGCATTGGGTGGTGTGCTAGGGACACTGGGACAAAGCAATTGTCCTCACTCTGAAGGGGCACACAGTCCCCTAGGAGAGAAGGGCTAAGTCAACAGTCAGTGGTCATGCAGGGGGACAGGGGCTCTAGAAATCTCTCTGGGGTGCAGTGGGCATGTGGAGGGAGGAAGTCAGCTCTCCAGCAACTGAAGTGGGTGGAAAGGTCTTTGCAGATGAGGGGTACCCTGGGTCTGGGACACACAGGGACTGTGACCCAGACAGAAGGACAGCATGAACCTTCTGATGCTGGGAGTCCAGGACTCTGTAGGGTCTTGGGGACAGCACCTCCCATCCCCCCAGTTTCAGCATCTTAGCCACTGACAATCCAAGGGTGATGATGCAGACCAGCTTCTTCCATTCTCTTTCAGGCTCACTTCAGGGCTGGAGCAGTGGCTGCCTGCCCAGGCAGGAAAGAGGTGGTCCAGGGGCTTGTGGGGTTGTCCAGAGCTGCCTGGAGGGCACCAGCTGGACTTTATATTTGGTTCAGGACAAGTATGAGCTGTGTGGTGTGTGATCACTGCTCCAATTGATGCATTGCAGGAGTTGGATGCTCGTGAATAGGTTAAAAAATAAAACTTGCCTAGGAGCCTTGCCCAAGGTAGGCTCCCAGCCTAGAGGCATTGGCCTTTTCCAGACACTATTTTTTCTGGGTGGACTATCTGGGCCCATGCGAGGATGGAGAGAATCAAACAAAGATGCTCTTGACACACTGGAGCATGGAGCAGGTAACCAAGGACCTCCTTAGCGAACACTGTAAAAGCCACGCTTCAATCTGTCTTTCATCATGGTCATAGCCATCTGTACTAACCTTTTCTCTTTCACGGGAATTTTAGAATAAATGTATTTGGTTTCTTCAAAAACTCTGACTTTTGTTGGAATTATATTTAATTTACAAATTAAAGAGAATTAGCATTTTTACGATGCTGGAACTTTCCAACCTTTCCATGAACGTGAAATATCTATTTATTCTGGTCTTCTTTTTATGTTTGTCAATTAAGTTTTATAATTTTCTACTTAAGGGCCTGGCATGTATGCATTTTTTTTATGACTTTAACTTTTTATTTTATATTGGAGTATAGCTGATTAACAACGTTGTGATAGTTTCAGGTGCACAGCAAAGTGACTCAGCCATACACATACATGTATTCAGACTCCCTTCCCATCCAGGCTGCCACATAACATTGAGCAGAGTATTCTGATATTTTAAAATAAATTTTATTGCTATTGTGAAGATAATCTTTTAAAGTAAGGTGTACTAAATGGTCATTGCTAGGGGAAAATACACTCCAGAATTGCTAATGTTTATCTTAAATCTAGCAGCTTGGCTGACCTCTTAGTTATTAGTTCCAATACCTTTCATATATTTTTTCCACTTATTATATGAAGATGATTATGTATTCTACAAAAAACTGCGATGTTTATACTCTTGCGATCCTTATGCTGTTTACTTTTTCTTGTTTTATTTTACTACCCAGGACCTCCAGTAAAACATTGATTATAAGAGGTGATGCTGGGCATTTTTATCTTGTTCTGGAATTTAGTAAACTGTTCCTCCATTAAGTAAATTGTTTGCTGTAGATATTTGATGGATATCATTTATCCAGTTAAGAAAGTTGCTTTCTAGACTGCTAAGAATTTTTATCAGATGGGTTCAAAAGTTTTATTTTATTTTACATTAAACTGTCTTTGCATTTCTAGACTAAACCTTACTTGATAAACACACATATATATATGTATATCTATATACATATATATGTGTATCTGTGTATTATATATAACATGTATAATAATAAATAAGTATATATTTATAATATATATTTTAAATTTACAACTTATATAATATATATAATATAATAATGTATAATAAATATATATAAGTATATTATATATAACATATACTATATATATATATTTTTTTTTATTTATTTATTTATTTATTTATTTATTTTTTACTGGGTTCAGGTTTATTCATTTAGGATTTTTGCATCAAACGTTCCAAGTGACTCTGGCCTACATTTTTCTACCTTTGTCCTGACCCTGTTTTGGTATCACGGTAATACTGGCTTTGTATGATGAAGTGATTTTGTTTTGTCTATGTTCAAGAAGAGTGGGTCTTCCCAGGTGGCGCAGTGGTTGCAAATCTGCCTGCCAATGCAGGGGACACGGGTTCGAGCCCTGGTCTGGGAGGATCCCACATGCCGCGGAGCAACTGGGCCCGTGAGCCACAACTACTGAGCCTGCGCGTCTGGAGCCTGTGCTCCGCAACAAGAGAGGCCGCGATAGTGAGAGGCCCGTGCACCGCGATGAAGAGCGGCCCCCACTCGCCTCAACTAGAGAAAGCCCGTGCACAGAAACGAAGACCCAACACAGCAAAAATAAATAAATTAATTAATAAACTCCTACCCCCAACATCTTCTTTAAAAAAAAAAAAGAAGTGTACAAGAGACATCATTTGCATGTAGCAAAGTCTGGTGTCGAAACGCCCTCCATTCCCCCACTTACAATTCACCTGGGACTCTCCCCCCTCACTTAAGGCACACCTGCTGGAGCCATCTGATGATTCCTGTTTCCCCCTCTCAACAAAAGATGACAACATGACTAGAAAGTTTACGCGCGTCCTCTGGCCACTGGTGTTGGTTCATCAGGCCCCCTCAGAGTGCTCCTGGGGTCAGTGTGTGGATGAGGACCTTGCTCTAGGTGTGCTCGGCTAGAAGTTGTAACTGAGGCTGTCTAGATCCTGTGGCCCAAAATGAAGATAAGACCCATCTGTAGAGTGAAGCTGCAGAGAGTCAAGCAGGGCTGAAGGGCTGAAAACAGAGAGAGGCCCTGCTGGAGGTGAGGGCTCCAGCCTGGGCGGAAGA